AGTGGAAATTTCGCATAATTTATCATTATTTTATCAATCGAAATTCTGGTTCTCGGCGATTACTGCCTGGATCGACCTACTTCCTTCGCAGTACGTACAACAAAATTTACTTAATGAAACCTGTAAAGTCTCGCTGAGTTTCACTTCCAAATACACTATTTGATAAGCATGTTTATTTTGGATATTTATGCCGATGTATACATAAAAATATGATTTCAATGATCTCTTTTGCATTTGTTTTGCTTATTTTCTGCGCACTGGCAGCAACGACCTGGAAACGTTAATGCTCCCCCTCCTCCGTCGACGTTTTTGGGAGGTGAGTGTCCGGCACTACCACCTTCACTTTTGGCCGGCCAGTGGTAGCTAGGAGCGCCTTCACTTTTGGTGGGTCCGGCTTCCCCCATCGCACCTCTGACATCACCTCCTCAACCATCAAAAAAAAGGATGACGCAAGTTAGAATTGTGTATTGAAGCTACTACTCATTATACTTTGGAATATTCGAGAATTTTTTCGATTAATCGAATAACCGAATATATTCGAAATTTAAAAATATCGAATAATCGAACTTCGAATATTTTCGAAAACAAAAAATGTCGAATATTCGAATATCGAATATTTTCGAAAAATAAAAATGTCGATTAATCGAATATCGAATATTTTAGAGATAAGAAAATCGTCGAATAATCGAATATCGAATATATTCGAAATGAAAAAAAAATCAAATAGTCGAATATATTAGGTTGGTGCAAAAATAATGAGCGTTTCTATTTGCCTGCTTTAACAAAGCAAGCAGACTCAACCCAACAAAGGGTAAGGAGTACTGTTCGATAGAGCAAAGCAAGCTCTATAAGAAGACACTCATGCCTTTGCGCCATGCTCGATCCGCGGAGAGTTCGAACTCAAAATCTAAAGATTTCCAAATGCCCAAAAAATCGGAAAAAATTAGATCTTCGTCCAAATAATTTCTACGGACCTCCCACTCGCTCACATCAATATTATCGATACCTGACATCCATATGTGCGATTGCCGTATTTTTTCCTTGACTAGGAACTGAGAAAACGAAAATTTCCCTGATTTTCTCAAAACAATGCTGAGCCGTTTTTGCATATGTAGTTCTATACTACAAATCTAGTTAAGCATAACTGTAGATTTTCAGCCCATTCCAAGCTGTAGTTTTCGAAAAATAACAAATTCGGATTTTTTCGTTTCAGTTTCAGTGCTAAAATCGACATTTCTCGAAAAGTACCGCTCGAAATAGGCTGAAAACCTACAGTTGTGCTTACCTAGGCTTGTAGTATAGAACTACATATGCAAAAACGGCTCAGCATTGCTTTGAGAAAATCAGGGAAATTTTCGTTTTCTCGGTTCCTAGTCAAGGAAAAAATACGGCAATCGCACATATGGATGTCAGGTATCGATAGTATTGATGTGAGCGAGTGGGAGGTCCGTAGAAATTATTTGGACGAAGATCTGATTTTTTTCGATTTTTTGGGCATTTGGAAATCTTTAGATTTTGAGTTCGAACTCTCCGCGGATCGAGCATGGCGCAAAGGCATGAGTGCCATCTTGTAGAGCTTGCTTTGCTCTATCGAACAGTACCCCTTACCCTTTGTTGGGTTGAGTCTGCTTGCTTTGTTAAAGCAGGCAAATAAAAACGCTCATTATTTTTGCACCAACCTAATATTTGGAAAAAAAATCCGAATAAACGAATATTTTGCATCGATTATGTCGAATATTCAAACAAATTTTGATCGAAGCGCAATAAAGGACTCCATGCAGTGGGCAACTTGGATAACAAACGATGGTTGCTGATATAGCAGTAAAAATTGTGACGCTGTCATGTAGTTATTCGATTACACGAAATTGTCAAATAATCGAATAACTTCTGAAAATAAATATTCGAATATTCGAATATTTTCGAAAATCAAAATTTTCGAATAACCGAATAATCGGAGAAATTTCGAGTAAGCGAATATCGAATATATTCGAGATTTTAAAGTTTTCGAATAATCGAATTTCGAATAAAATCTATTCGAATACTTATTCGAATACTCGAATATTCATTCGATTCGATCCAAAGTACAGTCGAGTAGATTTCCTGCTTAATATAGTGTCCCTGCAGACGCGACAACGCTGGGGCGTCAATAAATGCCTTGCGAGTCCCCGAACTAGTGTTTTCCAGTGTTTTCTTTGCTTATTTCATGCTTTTTAGTTGATTCGCTGCTGATAAAGAGAAAAAGGGTAAGTTAAAGAGTATTTCCTGTTTTCTGAGAAGTTCTGTCATCGCATATTCACAGATAATCACGTGGAAGCATTCCGCGTCAGCTTCTTGTCTATTTTCTTCTGTCATTTCCTTTTCTTCTGTCACTTCTTCTTTCCAACCTCCTCCTTATTGTGAGGCGTTCCTTTGAACGCTAGTTGGCTTGTCTTGCAGCAACTTCGGCTTTCATCCATAAGAAATAGCATTTCAAAGCATGTGATAAAGACAATAAGTCAATCGTAAAAACCCACTAGCGTTCAAAGAAGTATCTCACAAGAAGAAAGAGACATGAAGTGAAAAAAATAGACAAGAAGCTAACGCGAAATGCTTCCACGTGGATATCTGTGAATATGCGATGATAGAACTTCTCAGAAAACAGAAACTACTATCTAACTTACCCTTTTCTTCTTTATCAGCGACGAATCAGCATAGAATAAGCAAAGAAAACACTAGAAAACACTAGTTCGGGGACTCGCAAGGCATTTATTGACGCCCCAGCGTTGTCGCGTCTGCAGGGACACTATATTAAGCAGGAAATCTACTCGACTGTATACTGCTCATGCCTTTACCCTGTACGTAACGTAAAAAGGATCCATCTGACGAGCTGTCTACTGACTTTTCCTAGTAATTAACCAAGCAGCAGTCAAAATATGATCTGCATTGCGACTAAGGGCCGCATGCACTAACATTTCCGCTGAGGAGGGGATCGCAGCTTCAGAAGAAAGCTTCATATCCTGAAGCTCCGGATATCTGGATTTCACGCTATCTACCTACCCGTAAGTACTATCACCATCCTTCACTATGAACATATTGAGCAGAAGCGAGAAGCTGTACAAGCCGCATTTCCCAGCTTTTTGTAGGATACCCTGATGATCCCTGGGGGATGATCTTCTAATCTTCAAAGTCATTTTTCTTTCTCCGAAGTTAAAGAAAACCTTCCAAAGTTATACTGAACATCTAACACAAACGGTGCTAAGCATGTTGCTGATGAGAACAAATGAATTTTTGAAAAATCAATTTTTTCGGTATACCCCAATTTCGGCCTGTGGATCATCGAAAATTTCATGACTTCAAAACATCATTTGTTCTTATCAGCATCATGCTTAGCACTGTTGGGTTAGATAATCTGCACAACTTTGGAAGTTTTTCGTTAACTTCGGAGAAAGAAAAATGACTTTAAAGAAAAGCGCCGGGGATCATCAGGGATCATACAAAAGTTGGAAAATGCCGTTTGTACAGCTTATCGCTCCTGCTCAACATGTTCATAGTTAAGAATAGTAGGGATACTTACGGATAGGTACACAACGTGAAAAAAAAAACGTACACAACCTAGGTATCTGGAGTTTCGAAATATGAAGCTTTCTTTTAAGCTGCGATCCCCTCCCCACGGCCATGTTAGTGCATGCGGCCTAAGAAGTCAAAAGACGTGACTAATTCTGTGAGTATGCGAAGAAAATGCCAAGTCATCCCCACATCTAGTCGACTTGATATCTGCCGGAAACCAGTTGAGCTAACTCAGAAATGATTTCGTTTTGGCCTTGTTCTGTTGAGCAGCGTTAAAGCTCAATCAGTAACGCCATTCCAAAGCTTGTCTTCTTTTCTGCGTTTTGGATATTACAATCATCAACTTTCGCTGCATAGAAGGTGAGATGCGACTATAACAAATTGGGAACTTTCATCGCGAAACTTCAAAAATCATTCTTCAAAAAGCATTAGCGAGGTTCTCATTTGAAGCTAAACTGAAGTTGCGCGTACTTCTTATTGTTAGATTAATATTAAATATAGCTTTCCCTAGTTAGGTCGTCTATGTTAAAATTCAAATTTCTCGAGAACGAAAGCTTAAAGAGAGCTGAGAATTTACGTCTGTACTTCTACAGGTTTGTAGTATACAACTACCTATGTGGGGACGGCACAACACCACTTTGGCAAATGCACGAAAAATTCCGTTTTCTTGGTTTCTAAAAAGGGAAGAATACGGCAAAGGCGTATGTAGATGTTTTATGTGGATACTGTTTACTTGAACAAGTAAGAATTTTTGTAGGATTTTTTTGAACTGAGTTACGATTTTTTTCGATTTTTCGGGCTGCAGAGTCTTTTTAGTTTTGGCTCAAAACTCGAGGTGGATGAGAGCTGCTGCAAAAGCAAGATGGCCGTCTTGTAGGATTTGCTCTATCGAATGGTGGTTTGCAACCAATTATAAGTGAGAAGGTATGACTTACTGCGGTTGAAATTCAAAACGGGCATAAATTTCCGGACAACCTAATATAAACATGCTTAGCAGTGCCATATTATATCACCAGCACATTTTGCAGCGGCTTCATTGAGTTTACAGAAAGATGTATGACTATGAAAATGAGAGCTGATCCCCTGGACATCTCAGGGGATCACACAAAATAATAGTGAAAATCCAATCTTGTATGACTTGGCATTTATTATGCTCAGGTATTATGGTATGAGAAGTTTTCTAAGCCAGAAGAGAAAGAAGAAGAAAGATAGATGAAGTCGCGAGGTATGTCGCATTCCCTCTCAGATCCCCTCCCCTCTCAACGAGGTGTGCATACGGGCCTTAATTTTATATTTATGTAGGAATGATAAATGAGTTCTCATTGAGATTTGCTCAAAGCCACATTCAGTGTAAAACCAGACCGTTTGAAACTGGCTAAAAAGTGTTCAAAGTGCTTGAACCTTTCCTGAAAGTTCGCATCGATAAATAACAAAAAAAATTAGCCTCTACTTACCGAATGTGCAAAGCAAAGGACGTCGTGCCATAGCTGGCATATCCTCAAAACCCTCCGTCGTCATCACTCCAGTAGTTCTTGGAAGATCAGCGCACATAAAATCGGGTTTGTTACGTCTCCAAAATTTCTGCTCGGTTATGCTCTAAGATATAAAATTGAGGAATCTTCAGGCAGCATGTGCATAGGAATTGGAGAGATCAAGATTGGCATGCATGCGCCCCCTTAAGAGAAGGGAGCACAGCCAGGGACCGGCACAGATTATTGGAAGCAGGCTGGACTTCGTTTTAGAAGCGAATAAGCAAAAGGGATTTTTTTACCTCCGAAAAAACCCAAGTTATTAAGGTTTTTAGTCGATGTTTCCAGAAAGGGTCGAACGGTACTTCGTAAAACTTTGCAAAAGTCAGAAAACTTTGTTTTCAATAGCCTAGAAACTGACTCAAGCCGGGCTTAAGCTCAGCTTTGCGGAAAGCTTCATTTTGAAAATTCTCAGTGTTTTTATCCATCACTCCGCCGTGAAACCCTAGATTGTTTTAACCTAATACTACGAGTACAGAGCGCACTTTTCTCGTTTTTTAAAGCAAGCAGTTTAGCCGCTTCACTGTGCATCGCAAAACGATCCTTATGCCATATGATCCTTCAAGGTAAAGCACAGTAGGTAAAGGGTCCTTGGATCGCCAAATTTTTTAGCGTGTCTGGGGTTGATTGCGAAATCCCTGCGCCTTGCACTCATGTAGCTGGGGTACAAACCTAGAGTAAGCTAAAAACCTGGGAGTTTTATTGGTGGCTAAATGAGCACGTATTACGATAAAACATAGGGGGGGGGGAGCATATCCAAAGAAATCCGACATTAGATTTGGCGTGGCTCAAAGGATGAATTTTACATTGTTATACAGACTTCATTAGTCGACGTACGATGTTATACAGAATTCAATACGACTCATGACTACATCATGGCGTCATTGTGTTCCTTGTCAGATTCAAAAGGAAGCATAGGTCATTGAATAGTTACAAACACGTACCGTAGTATTATCCGACCCATAATAGAGAAATTTCTTTCCAAGTTTGTTAGAATTTGGTTCAGGAACACATTCTTTTCTATGCTCTTTAAATGATGAGGCTCGTCCGATTGTGGTGCGAAAGCTCACTTTTGGCATCTTAAATAATGATGAGTACATCATGAGAGCAACAAATTATCTTATGAATCTGGAGAATAACTGCTTACATTTTCTTTGCGCCGAAAACTCTTATATTCTCGTAAATCTTGGAAGTCATATTCAGAGGCGGCATATCCATTGGGAAGCATCTACAATTCACTAATCATTTACACATAATTAGAAATAGTTAGGAGATTGCGCAAAATTTTTATATTAGCTTTGCCACTTGAGACACTTGAGACTCATTGATACAGTTCATATCAGGAAAATAAGCCAACAATAGCTTACGCTTCCGCATAGCTGGGTTTATCCCCATTTACTTCATTTGACATAAAATGATAATGTGCAACCGTAACCCAATTTGTTAAAACTTTTACCTTTGAGTAATTATTGATATAGCTAGGCGCTCTTGCAAAAAAGTAGAGAAGGCCTTGAGGATTGCGGTAGAATGCTCATCCTTATCCGTTGTGTTGAATCCAAATATCGTCTTAGAAAGCGCAAAGGCAAGAGGTTTTCACTTGGCGCAAAATGTGTTAGAATAGAAAACGGTTCCCGCTATAACTAAGACTCGCACATCTACTAAAAGGCGTGCTGTTCAAGACAGTGTCCGAGCAAATCTGAGCACTTTTTTCGCCTGGAAACTGATGAGGGAGTCCTAACAAGGGCACTGCCCAAAGGCAGCACGAATGATTCATTCACGGCTGAGAAATTTGTCTTTAAACCTCCTGCGCCTGCGCAACAACTCAAAATGACCTCGCATCTTAACACTACGTTCGCACTGGGACCATCCTTCGTCACTCACGAGTCCGAGTGTCTAATGAAAGATTCACCTGCTACGCGTTAGGAAAAAACTAGCTCGCTTACCCGGCTCCGCTCGGCCCTGTCAAAACACTTAATAAAGGTCCCATCCCTACCCCTGTACCGCCTTTCCCTGTGCTCACTTCTACACTTCATTTCCCGTTCCCTGTCTTGTTTTCAAAATCAGCATGCCCATTTATCCGGGGAACGGAACTTACATACACAATAAGGTTGCCGCGCCTAATTAGCGGAGTTCATGAGAGGTCATGAACTGGCAGCAAGGCTAATTTGCACTCATTTTGCACCGAAGATGAGCTGATTCTGCTCACGGTAACTCCGTCATCATCCTGCAGTCCATGAAACCGGAATTTCTTTGAAAACTGAATTCAAAGTTCAGTAGTGAAATCAGTTTAGTTAGAGTAAAAACTTGTATTTAGGGGTATTCTGTCACGCTGATTCCGAATATGTCAATCATTTTTCTTGAAACCTAGGATTTTTTTTCTTTTTGAATCAAAACTTGTTTTCACAAATTTTTCACAAAGATTCTCAGGGCATGCCTGTGGCTGTTATCACCAAATCCGAAAAAAAGTTTGAAATTCAAAATAGAAAAATTTCGATGTTTCATGCACAACCATCAGCTTTTTTAAACAGCATGTCAAAAAACCCTAATTGCGAAATTTGCCAAATTTACAGAGAATGAAAATATAAAATTTCCAAGGAAAAAATATTCAATTTGGAGCGTAATCATTAGCTTTTTAGGAAACAGCATGTCAGAAAACCCTTACAAAATTTTGGAAATTTTTATTTGTGAAAACAAGTTTTAATTCAAAAAAGAAAATCCTAGGTTTCAAGTAAAATGATTAACATATTCGGAATCAGCGTGATGGAATACCCCTAAATACAAGTTTTTGCCTATTGGACTGAGTTTACTACTGAACTTTGAATTCAAATTTCAAAGAAATTCCGGTTTCATAGGCTGCAGGATGATGACAGAGTTACCGTGAGCAGAATCAGCTCAACTTCGGTGCAAATTGAGTGCGAATTAGCGTTGCTGCCAGTTCATGACCTCTCATGAACTCCGCTAATTAGGCGGCGGCAACCTTATTGTGTATGTAAGTTCCCTCACCCCATTTATCCCACTGTGTCAACTCCCAGCCCTTCAGCTCAAATTTTGAAAAAATCGATAAAATCGTTAGAAGTAATACAGTGCTGGGCATAATTATAGGGACACTCTAAAAATCGTCGTAATTTTCATTCTTGTCAGTGAATCTGTCTGAAACTTTGCTGTATGGTGCGCATGTAAGCCTACCATAACTCCTCAGAACGGCTTCCAATCCCGTTGATTTCGAACGGGAAAAATGGAAAAACTCGAAAAAGCTTGTTTTGCAGGCTGGACATAATTATAAGGACACCTGGCCTTTTTAAGCATTATCGCATTCCTTAACTCCCAAATTTTTTTGTAGAGTTACGTCCCAGAATATGAAACTTTTGCAGCACCTAGGACCTGTCATGCTACTCAAAGAAAGATGATCCTTGCATTTTTTGTTTCCAAAGGCATTAGAAGTCAAACTGCTTCAGTAAACAACTGGTTTGAAGAGTTTTCAAGCCCTTGTTCATTTCATATGATAATCATGGAGTCTACTGATCCTTCTGGATAGGTGAGGTGAAGAGCGCTTTCGTAAACTCTGCGTAATCGCTGATTTTGACGGACAGACTTCAACCTCACCATAGGGTTGTCGCGCTTTTGCACTACAAAACTCACTTTCCAATGGTCGTGAAGTGATGGACTCGATTCATTACATTGTCTACGTGGAGATGCATCTTCTGCAACAACTTTTAGATTTTTTCTAGTGCTGCAATTACCATTTAGATCTGAAATACTTCCAACGAAAATTCTATGCGAGCAGTAGATTCAACATAATCACAAATCTCACTATTTTATTCTCTGTTTCATGTCGCATTTTGCGCTGTAGCTGAGATTAGCAAGATTTTGAAGTTTCAAGCGGTCTCCTGTTCGATTTCTTGATTTGAGTTGGATATGTTGTGCAGGGTGCTCGACTCAACTCTCAACGGATGACAACTGCGGCTGAACCAGAATGTGCAACCCCGAAATTTTTTCCTGACTAGGCACACAAGTTTATTGTTGTACGTGTGTTGTTGCGGCTATATTGCAGCGTTTTCTGTAACTTGAAAATCGAGTTTTGTGGTGCAAAAGCACGACAACCCTATGGTGAGGTTGAAGTCTATCCGTCAAAATCAGCGATTACGCAGAGTTTACGAAAGCGCTCTTCACCTCATCATCCAGAAGGATCAGTAGAGTCCATGATTATCATTTGAAATGAACAAGGGCTTGAAAACTCTTCAAACCAGTTGTTTACTGAAGCAGTTTGACTTCTGATGCCTTTGGAAACGAAAAATGCAAGGATCATCTTTCCTTGAGTAGCATGACAGGTCCTAGGTGCTGCAAAAGTTTCATATTCTGGGACGTAACTCTACAAGAAAATTTGGGAGTCAAGGAATGCGATAATGCTTAAAAAGGCCAGGTGTCCTTATAATTATGTCCAGCCTGCAAAACAAGCTTTTTCGACTTTTCCATTTTTCTCCGTTCGAAATCAACGGGATTGGAAGCCGTTCTGAGGAGTTATGGTAGGCTTACATGCGCACCATACAGCAAAGTTTCAGACAGATTCACTGACAAGAATGAAAATTACGACGATTTTTAGAGTGTCCCTATAATTATGTCCAGCACTGTATTACTTCTAACGATTTTATCGATTTTTTCAAAATTTGAGCTGAAGGACTGGGAGTTGACACAGTGGGATAAATGGGCATGCTGATTTTGAAAACAAGACAGGGAACGGGAAATGAAGTGTAGAAGTGAGCACAGGGAAAGGCGGTACAGGGGTAGGGATGGGACCTTTATTAAGTGTTTTGACAGGGCCGAGCGGAGCCGGGTAAGCGAGCTAGTTTTTTCCTAACGCGTAGCAGGTGAATCTTTCATTAGACACTCCTAATGGAATTCATGAAAATCTCTTTTTAGACTAAAGCACGTACTTAACGGAAAGCACTATCATTAGAATTAACCATTTCAATAATCTTGGCCCGTAGTAAACTCCCGAAATATGTCATAATGTAAATTGCGAAATGCAAAATTACGACTTGTCCGAATGAAGTACATGCTGCTCACGAATACCTTGGTCGCCGCAAAACTTGCATCCACACGCGCCATCGAACCTCCGATTATTGCGAACAGCGCGCACTGACACTGCGCTATATTTCATGCTTTAGCTATAGAAGCAAAAGTAACAAATGAGGCAAACAGGACGGTTGCTTGCAACATCGTTCGAACAACTTCATAAGCAAGCTTGATTTGTATCAAGCTTTATTTGTAAAGTATAAAGGCTTGCACTGGTCCATCATGTTTACAATAAAGGCGCTTACTAAAGGGGTGCCTCCACAAGGAATGCGATAGTTCAGCGTAAGTGTCGGTCGCAGCTGTCCTATGAGGGAAATAAGGTAAGGAGTACGCGTCGCGCGTGAGCAAACGTTTTGCAAGATGCTTTTTAGAAAAGTTTTTGCGTGAATAAACAAAAATTACTAGGATCTTTGTAGTACAGAAAAAGAAAGCATGTACACATAACTTATCGCAAATACAGTAGAAAATTTGGAATACTGTAGAATAATCACTACTTCACATGTTGCAAACATAAGCTGTTCCATTAACCATGAGGCCAGACGGTTATTTCGCTCAGATAGAAAGAGAAACGCGAGATACACAGCTAAAGAACAGCAAATTGGCAAACAAACACCGTAATATACGTATACGCTGATGGCAGATATAAGGAAATTATGACATGAAGAAAGATTCTATGAGCAAATGGATTGCAGTGCGGGAATAAAAGGAAAAAATGGCTTGATCACATAAAAATGGACTTTTAATATATAAGCTGCTGCTTGAACAAAGGCGCAATATCTCTGAGCGCGAACGCGGTCTCATTAGCCACAGAGGGCATGAGGCGCAGGATTTACAGTGGTGAAGATACGCGCGCGCAGCGTTCGCGGCCCCTCAACTAATATTGCTTGTGCGCCCTCGTCATGCAGCAGCCTTTATATTTTGTAATTGAAATTCACCTTTTCAGATTATGAAGCATAGTACAGCAGAAATTCTCAGAATACAGAGAGTCGCTCAGCGCTTTGACGTCTGGGGCGCTTATAGCTGTTGATATCGATTGTATTTGGCGTGCGTTGAACCTAGTGCTGCGTGTCTACGATCCTTGCGCACAGGACGAACCGGCGTATTCGACCCCTAGTCGGTTGCGCCTTCCTGCGTTTCCACGCTGGGCGCATTATT